CCTTCCTTCCTTCCTTCCCTTCCTTCCCTTCCTTCCTTCCCTTCTTTCCCTTCTTTCTTTCCCTTCTTTCCCTGCACCCAACCCCACCAAGGCACCAGGAGGGCTGGATGAAGACATTCCTCTAGGCCTCACCCCAGACCTGACAGCAGGCCTGCTCCCTGGACCAGCCTGGCAGAAGAAAAGAAACGTCCAAGCAAAGCCTGTGTTGAGGAGATTAAACCCTCCTCTGCCTGCCCGGAGCTGGGATGCAGGGCTCAGGCTCCATCCCCATCACCATGATAAAGCCCCGCCAGCCCCGGCCTGGCCGCCGAGGGGGGATGACAGGCCGACAATGGGCCGGAGCAGAGGTCAAGTCTTTTTCTCTCCTTGCCCAGCCTTTCTTGTTTGCAGTTTTTCCATATGTAAAGCACGCCTTGCTCCCGGCTCGCCAGCCCCACAGTAATGAGGCCTGGGCCTGCTGGAAGCCGTCTCTCCGTATTATTGTGCTGCCTTCTTCTTTTGAGTTCCCGGCATGTTAATTAGAGAGCGAGGAGAAAGGGAGAGGCTTCTAATTAAGCACTGAGGAAGAACAGGGGCTGATGCACGGAGTGACTTTCAGTGCCAGCTGTGAGAAGGAGCGGGGCGATGCAGGGTCTGAGCAGCCCCGGCTCCTGGAGCAGGTAGGGGGGTCCTGGTGGCCAACGCAGCGCTTTGGGTGAGAGCTCCGGGCAAAGCAGAGCCATGCCAGAGGAAGAAACTGATTTCCTTATATTTTATCCATGATTCCTTCCTAAAAATGGGGTAAATCCTGTTTCTCTTCCCGCTGGCACACCGAATTTATTCATGGAAAAGAAAGCAAATGCTCCCCCTGCATTCTGTGAGGATGCTCTCCTCCCCCTTTCCTTGCAACGGAAGCAGATTTGCAGCCACGGCCGATCAGAAATGGTTGGAGCTGTTTGTGGATCTTCTCTGACAGCCTTCTGTTCAGCGGTTTGTTAGCCTTGGTGTGCAAAGAGCAATCTGTCTCTCATCTCGGGAGCCTCCCTTTGCAGCCCTGAGTGCAGGGATGTGGTGACAGCAGGGCTGCACTGTGGGCAAGTCCTGCACCCAGGGCAGGATTATGCTCTGCACATTGGACTTCATGTCCATGGGAAGCTGCTTGGCTTCCACTTGAGCAGGTTTACGAACAAGCTCATGAACAGCCATTCCACCTGGCTGGATAGCTTTGTGGTTCCCTTCATAAGCTTCCCCAGGCCTGCCCTCCTCTCTTCTCTCCCCACTGGAGGCTGGAGTGGAGGGAGGCACAAAGGGTGTTGGGGCAGGGGAATCTCATGTGCTTGCTCTCCTCTTGCTCCATTGGCATCACACAAACCTAAGACAGAATGCAGTGTTCATAGAATCACAGAATGGTTGGGTTGAAAAGGACATTAAAGCCCACCCAATTCCAAGCCCTGCCATGGGCTGGCTGCCCCCCACCAGCCCAGGCTGCCCAGGGCCCATCCATGGCTATGGGCATAGAGCATCCACACTTCTCTAGGCAGCAGTGCCAGGACCTCCCTGCCCTCTGAGTAGAGAATTTCCTCCTGACATTTATCTTGAATCTCCTCTCTGTTAGTTTAAACCACAACCCCTTGTCCTATTGCTATCAGACGGTGTAAAACATTGATCTTCCTCCTGTTTATATGTTTGCTTTAAGTACTAGAAGGTGATGATGAGGTCTCCCCAGAGCTTTCTCTTCCCTAGGCTGAGCACCCCCAGCTCCCTCAGCCTTTCTTCATAGGAGATGTGCTCCTGCCCTCTGAGCATTTTCCTGTTCCTTCACCTTCACCTTCCCAAGGTATCCAGCAGCATATTGACCTCAATCACAGACATCCTGATGGATCCCAGTGGGCATATTCCATCTCTGACCTGCTCTGAAGTGTCTCCCCACCCTACAAAGGGTGGAGACAGCAATGAGAGCTGAGGGATTGGACAAAAGGGCAGAGCTGAACAGGGCCAGAAGGTGCAGAAGGTGCAGGTGTGGGTGTGTTGTAGCTGCCTTGAGCTCTATGGAGACTCCTCCAGAGCTGCAGAGGGGCTTTGCTGTCCCACTGGCACCCTGCACCTTGCGTGGCGCTCAGGCTACAGCCTGGAAGGAGGTTTTACAGTCATGTTATAAAGCGGGGTCTGTCTGCCACGATTGTAACCGTAGCGGCACCGGTGGGAATACATCTGCTGAAGGCATCGTGTTACTTAGCCATGAGGCTCTGCAGCTATGAGGAGGCCTCTGCAGGACGGTGTAGCCGACGGGCGAGAGCCCCTGCTAAAGACATTACTGCTGCAGATGGAGTGCATGGCCCCACAGTGCCCTGCCGCACTCGGACCACATGCAGGAGGTTTTGCCATAAAGCCACCAGGGTGCCACGTGGGTCAGACCCCTGTGGAGACACGTAGGGTTGGGGTGATGTGGTGGTACAGTGCGGCACAGCTTCTGCTGGGACGGCGTGCCTGCGTGGTGCCTGAAAGACGCAGAGCAGGTGGGGACCCTGTGTTTAATCCTGTGAATGTCAGTTCAGCTCGACTGACTGTTTGTGTCCTGTCTGCAGTGGGAAGAGGTGAGTGGATACGATGAGAACATGAACACCATCCGCACCTACCAGGTGTGCAACGTCTTTGAATCCAGCCAGAACAACTGGCTGCGGACCAAGTACATCCGGAGGCGAGGAGCGCACCGCATCCACGTGGAGATGAAATTCTCCGTTCGGGACTGCAGCAGCATCCCCAACGTCCCGGGTTCCTGTAAGGAGACTTTTAATCTCTATTACTACGAATCAGACTTTGACTCTGCCACCAAGACTTTTCCTAACTGGATGGAAAACCCTTGGATGAAGGTAGATACAATTGCTGCCGACGAGAGCTTCTCGCAGGTGGACCTTGGTGGGCGGGTGATGAAGATTAACACCGAGGTGCGCAGTTTTGGGCCTGTCTCCAAAAATGGTTTCTACCTGGCCTTCCAGGACTATGGGGGCTGCATGTCCTTGATTGCAGTCCGTGTCTTTTACCGCAAGTGTCCCCGTGTGATCCAGAACGGGGCGGTCTTCCAGGAAACCCTTTCGGGAGCGGAGAGCACATCTCTGGTGGCAGCTCGGGGGACGTGCATCAGCAATGCAGAGGAGGTGGATGTGCCAATCAAGCTGTACTGCAATGGCGATGGAGAGTGGCTGGTGCCCATCGGCCGCTGCATGTGCAGGCCAGGCTACGAGTCGGTGGAGAATGGGACCGTCTGCAGAGGTAACCCCTTCTCTTTGCTCCTCACATGCTTATCTCACTGCTGTGCTTGCATTGGTGCTTTTGAGGCTGTGATCTGCAAGCTGGGAGGGACCTCTCAAGGGGCTTGGGTTCCTCTCTCCATTGGAGAGGCTCTGCCTTAGCTCTGGGTCTGCAGAGCCCAGAGGTGCTGCGCAGTCGCTGCTGCCTTTTGTGCTCCCCAAGAGGGGCACTCAGCCACTGAGCTGTGCCTCTGCTCTGCAGCCACCTCCCAGCAGTCTGGGGCTGGGCTGGAACTGTGGAACAAGAGAAAGTGCAGAGAGTCCAGAAGAGAGGGAGTTTCCTCTTTGGTTGCACCTAAGCAGGTATGCTTGTCTGGGTGTGCGTGTATCTGGTAGTGTGCTGGGTGGATGTGCTCAGAGGTGCTGGGGTTGGGGAGAAAGAAGTGGAAGAGCTGCAGAACGGGACAAAAAGAGCAAAGCAAACTGCAGCATTTGGCAAACTGATTCTTCCTCCCATTTGAGCATCAAATCCCATTATGGTTTTGATAGCATCAACACACTGAGCAGAGCTGGAATTTCTCTGAGATCAATTATAGATACGTCAGTTGGCACTGCAGAACTGTGCATGGAAGGAGCTGCTTCTCCTCTCTGCATACTGCAGGAAGGGGTGGCTGTGCAGCACCAAGCAAGTATGGGGAAGGTGCTGGTGGTAGAAGTGGACATTCCAGAGAGGGGAATGTCTGGCCACACTTGGTTGGGTCTGCAGGCTGAATGGCCGTGCTGGTTCCTCTGCCATCACACCAGCAGCAGCAGCAGAGCCGTGCAATCACAACAACCCAGTATCCATTTTGAGCAGGCAAAGGTTGACCTGGGGTTCTCCTGCAGGACCAGGAGCAACTCTCCTTGAACCCCGTGGGTTCAGTGGGGTGCCTTGGTGCTGAGGAATGCCCTGGGCCCATAGCAGGAGAAGCTGGATCAGGGTCTTTCACAGGGGCAAGAAGTGGGGGAGAACTAAAAGGGAGTCTGATGATGAGAAGAAATGTCAAAATCTGAAAGTGATGTAGGAATTACATGTTGAGGCCAAAGGAACAGAAGTGAAGCCTTCTGTGGAGGTCTTCCCTTTACTACATGGCTTCTCCTTGGACTGCTCACTTGGAGGGGCATCCACCTGCAGGTCCTGCTGTGTGTGAGGATGTTTGATATCCTTGCTTGAAGCTGCTGCTTGCTGGGACACCATGTGGCTCTTCTCTCCCCATGAGTGATGACCAAGAGTCCTTCAGCTGCAGCAGGGCTGGGGCTGCTGAGAGTCCTGCTGCAGCACAGCATGCAAAGGGAGCCTGGCTAATCCCAGATGGATGTTTTACTATGCCCAAGTGGAGCATTCGTAGCAACACAAGGAAGCCAAAATACTTCATGTCAGCTTTTCCATCTCAAGGTGTTTTTTTTTTCACTCCAGCCCTGCACAATGCTTTGCTCTGATACAGCTTCAGTTTCATGACTTGCATCACTTCCCCAGACCCAGTGCCAGCCCAGCCAAGGGTCGGTCCGTTCGAGTGCCCATTGCAGAACCCATTTTTGTCAGCCAGAAAGGAAAGGGGCCGAGGTGGAGGGAGAGAGCAGAAGGGCTGTCTCTCCTCTTTGTGCAGCAGCAGGATTTTGGGAGGTCCGGTACCTCAGCAGCTGTTTCTGCAGCCGGTGCTGGCGCGCATGCAGCCCCACGCTCCCCACTGTCATCAATCACACCGTGGCCGGCAGCGCGCCGTCTCCGTGGGGCAGCTCTGGCTGTGGGGCTGGATGGGCCCGGGGCTCTGCAGCAGTGGAAGGATTCCTCCGGTTCCTATGGGACACGTGGGGAGCCACCAGGCAGAGATGGTACATCCGCTCTGCTCTCAGAGGGGATGGGAAGGGGCTTCATCTCTCCGACTGGGTTAAAAGCACCCTGGGGAGGGACCTGTGGGTGCAGTCCTGCATGGCTGCCCCGCTGCTGTTGCACCCCTGCCCGGTACCAGTCCCTGCTGCATGGGCAGCGTGTGAGCCTCCTGGCTTGGGGGACTTGCTCGTACATATGGCCGGCAGGTTTTTTTTGTGTTTTGAAGGGTGGGAGGAAATCTGGGCCCTTTTCCAGAAGCAAAACAAAAGCAAATCCAAACTGGCTCTTGGAATGAAGTGCTCTCGCACGACTCAGTAGCCTGAACGGGACGTGGCAAGGATGGCCCATGGGTGCTGCCCTGCCAATGGGCCTCGATGCACCCCAAGCGACGGTCAGCCCGGCCCCTCAGCGCAGCTGCAAGCACTGGAAGGAGTTGCTCATTTTCTCTGCTGGGCTTTTCATCTGGCTAATAGAACGCGAGCCTGCTCACGGCACTGCACACAAGGGATATTTATGGAGGAAGTTCATGCATCTAACAGCTTAAGCTCCTTTAAGCTTGCAGCCCCAGCACAAAAGGATTTGGGGGCAGTTAACAATTCTGTGTGGTTAAGAGATTTTCATTTTGCTGGGCCCTGCTCGCCAATCCCACAGGGCTCTGCACTTTGCATCGCCCCTCGGCCGCACACTGCCTGCCCCGCTCCTTCCCGCTGCGCAGCCGGGGGCCCCGCGCTGCCCAGCCCCGTCCTCCTGCTCCCGTGCTTCACCTTCTCCTGCTTTCTGCCTGCATCTTTTTTTCTCCATCCCCCTGTTCTTTGTCTGGCTGCTTTCCCCCTTCTCCCCCGCCCGTCCCTCCCAAGCAGCATATTAAGCGCATTTCTGTCTCTGCCTCCCTTATTCATTGGCTCTGCTCCGCAACAGAGGAGGCAGAGCCATTGTGCTCCTTGCTCTCTCTCTTTAGCTGGACGGCAGTCGAGCACTGCCTTTGCCTGTTCAGGGATGGCAGCTGCTGGCTGCTGAGCTCTGCTTCCATCTCCAGCTTCTCTTCCAGCCCCAGCGGACTTCTGGTGCAGTGAGCAGCCTCTTCTTTACTGTGTTCCTATAATATTGAGCACGGGGAGCCTTGGTCTCGCTGATGGTTCTATCCTGCAGAAGGTGGTGGTGTAAGAGACCCGTAGCATTGTCTCTTAGGGTCACAGTTGTTTCTGAGCTAGAGCAATATCAAGGTGCTTTACTCCTGCTCCTTCCCTGGCGTGGAGAGCTGGGATGGAGGATGTTGGTGTCCTCACCCGGTCTGTCCATCTCCATCAACCCCACAGCCCATCTCCACTAACCCAGCACTGACTGAGCCTCAGTACAGCTCTAAAGGCAGAGGCATAGCTGCATTACTGCTGGAGCTGGTGCATGGAGCAGCCATCCCTGTCAGAGGCTGCAGAAGATGGTCTGGACTGGTTCTTGTAGGTACGGGACCTTCATGTGGGCTCTGTGAAGGATGTGTTCCCTCTGTGTTAAGGTCACGTCCCATATAGACACGATGTTTTGAAGATAAGCAGCTATTTGTGGCTCCATGCCTGCTTTGGTTTTGGGCCTCCACAGATAATGCAGGACCCAGCCAATAAATGGTAAGGCCCTAGGGTTAACTAAGTTCTTACAGGAAGCATTCCTGGTTGAGCTAGAGCAGATACAGCCATTTGTGATATAAATGTTTCCAGAGGAGAGTTACCTTAAATGCTTCCAGCGGTCTTCCTGCCTCCTTACCTGCCTCCTGCTGCCTGGCACTTGGACCTCAGTGAACTGTGTCCAGCAGGGCCTCTGTTCCCATACCTGTGGTTGTTTAAGGGTAATCCCTGACCCCCTGCCCTCTTTGTGCTGAGAGCTTTTTGGCTCTCCCCAGCCTTCCAGTTGGCATGGATCAGTGCAGTTGAGTGCTGCAGGGGGTGCTACCTTGCTCCATGACATTTCTCCATACCATTTCTCCGTACCATCTTCACGTTAACCATTTTGGCGATGGTTTTTGGCTGTATTCTTTTGCACAGCTGTTTGCTGGGGCAGGACCTCATCCTTTGCAGCAGGACTATGAGCAGAAAACCACTGTGGCCTGCATCCTTTTCCCAGGAGGCATGATCTGACATGTGTTTGTATTGAAATGCACGTGGCTTGCTTGTACCCATCCAGATTGCTGGGTGTCAGTGACCACCATCTTCACTGTGTACCATACGATGACTTCCATGTCATCAGTTAACTTTATTAGGAACACTTTGGGCTCTCTCCTGGGTCACTGATAAAAATGTTAAACAGCCCAGAGCCGTGAATCAAACCTGTTGGCTCGTGTAGAAACAGACCTGCTCTCCGTGCATTCCCTGCTTAGATCTCAGACCATAGCAGCATCAGCCAGCCAAGTTTTAATGCATTGAATATGTGCCACAGTGTCTGCGAACCCTCTAATTTCTGAATCAAAATATCATGCGTTCCCAAGGGAAATGCTTTTCAGAAGTTTGGGTGCATTGCATTAACGCTGTTACCTCTCCCAGCCAATCTTGTAATTGCATCAAAAACCATGTGAGGCTAATTTGCCTTAATCTGTTTTCCATAAATACACATAGATTGGCACCGCTGTTACTGCGTTCCTTTAATCCTTCACTGACCGAATCCCATCTCTGGCACATCATTAGTTGACTGGTACCCATGTTGCAGTGGCAGTCCTAAAATAGGCCAAACTGCCTCGTTTAACAAATAGCTTTTTCCTACATCTCTTAAACATTGCACTATTTCATGGCATATGGAAAGTGAACATTAACTGTCCGCCGGTTCCTCAGCCAACTCTTCATAAACTCTAGGTAGATGCTGTCCTGACATACTGATTTAACAATGTTTAACTTTAGTAGCTGCTATTTAACATCTTGAGTTACTGCTGGAATGGAAAGTATTTCACCATCCTCCTCTAAGATGATTACATCACCTGGCTTCTTCCCAAGTACAAAACAGGAATTTGTCTGCCTTTTCTACAAGGTTGTTGACAATTTGAATGCTCCCAGCCCACAGTGGCTCTGTGTCATTGTAGATACCACTCTTTGGGCCATCTCCCTCTGCTGCCTTTCCATCTGCAAAGCAAGAATTCGATGTCTTTCTTTCCACTGCTCTGACTCTTCACCCTA